AACAGACCCAGACTCCAGATCTGGGTGACAGGAGCCTTTGGTCCCCACCTGAGCCAGCCAAACTGTCCATAGAAAAAGAGGTCATGATGGAGGACCTAGGGCTGGTCTTAGGATCCCAGGGAGCCACAGCTTTCCCTGACGGGGGCACAGCTTTCTCTGAGGGAGCCACAGATTTCCCTGAGGGGGCCACAGCTTTCCCTGAGGGGGCCACAGAGCCCTCCCTGAGCCTAAAGTCTGTGGACCAAGTAGGCACAGAGAGCCCAGTGCAGGATGAGACACATCTGGCTAGGCAGGAGAGTCATTCTATGGGTTTCCAAGAAGCCCATGGCCAAGTCCTTAGTCTGAATAGCCTGTCCACCCACTTCCCCCAGAGTCTAGAAGAACAGTTCAGGCCTGAGGAAGGAAACTTAGGAGAGACAGGCCAGCAGGACCCTGGGTCTTTAGAAGCCAATGAGGTTCGTGGCCTGGAAGCCAGGAACACAGATTCACCCCAGCAAGGTGATGTCCTGCCTAACACATCACAGGCTCCTGCTGAGAGAGAAGTCCCTGCTCCTGACCAAATGTCTCCTCTGAGGGGCTCTCCCAACTTAGGGGATGGGGCTGGGCTTGCAGTGGGAGAAGTTAGAGTTCTGTTTGCTTCTGAGGGTGAGCCTCCTCCTCAGGGACTCTCTTCTCCTCCTTGGTCCCCAACTGGGTCCAGAAAACAGACCCAGACTCCAGATCTGGGTGACAGGAGCCTTTGGTCCCCACCTGAGCCAGCCAAACTGTCCATAGAAAAAGAAGGCATGATGGAGGACCTAGGGCTGGGCTTAGGATCCCAGGGAGCCACAGCTTTCCCTGAGGGGGCCACAGCTTTCCCTGAGGGGGCCACAGCTTTCCCTGAGGGAGCCACAGCTTTCCCTGAGGGGGCCACAGAGCCCCCCCCAAGCCTGGAGTCTGTAGACCAAGTACTCACAGACAGACCAGTGCAGGATGAGACACATCTGGCTAGGCAGGAGAGTCATCCTACGGGCTTCCTAGAAGCTCATGGCCAAGTCCTTAGTCTGAATAGCCTGTCTACCTACCTCCCCCAGAGTCTAGAAGAACAGCTCAGGCCTGAGGAAGGAAACTTAGGAGAGAGAGGCCAGCAGGACCCTGGGTCTTCAGAAACCAATGAGGTTCGTGGCCTGGAAGCCAGGAACACAGAATCACCCCAACAAAGTGATGCCCTGCCTAACACATCACAGGCTCCTGCTGAGAGAGAAGTCCCTGCTCCTGGCCAAATGTCTCCTCGGAGGGGCTCTCCCGTCTTGGGGAATGGGGCTGGGCTTGCAATGGGAGCCCCAGAGACCACAAAAGCTCTCCTAACCCTGGCTGAGTCAGAAGCCCAGTCCAGGCCCGTGTCCATGCCTGTTCAGGTGGAGAGCAAGTCAGGCGCCCCTCAGTCCACAGAGCCAGTGGCAGAGAGCAGGCCGGAAGACCCAAGAACAGACTTACGGGAGGCTGAACAGAGCTCTTCCCCTGGGGACCGCACGGCTGCCAAGCCTCAAGCTGACCCGGACTACCTCTACCATGTCATCTTCTTGGGGGACTCCAATGTGGGCAAGACCTCATTCCTCCACCTGTTACATCATGATGCTTTTGCCACCGGGCTGACGGCCACTGTAGGTAAGGCCCCGTGGGGTGGTAGCAGTGAAGAGGCTGGGCCAAAGCCAGCAAGCCATCCCAGGAGAAGTGGCAGGCTCTGCCTTGGCCACAGGCCTTTATGAGGCATTATTTTATATGGGTATAATCTTAGCATTTCGCTAATCGTCTCTAATTACAGGCAATTTGCTTCCCCTGCATTGATCTAGTTAGCTTATAACGCACCACAGGAGCAAAGCACCGTGCAATTTAGGTCCTGGTGTTAGCAGAGTGTGAACAGGCCAGTCTCCACCCACCGGGTAGGCGGTTCCCTACAGAGACTAGCTGGACGAGCTCATGACATGCCCCAGGTCTGCTTGCATGCCCTGGCAGGAGATCACAAGTTGGGAATCTTATATCGAATATGTTCAGAGTGTGGCAAGTTAGGATCCTAGGGGCGTGGGTTCAAATCCGAGCACTACCACTTACTGGGACTAGGAACTCTGTCTGCTTTGGATTACAATCCCTGGAGTCAATTGGCTTATAAAACCAGAAGGTTTAACTCTGGCTGGCTCAGAGTTGGGAGGTTTTGGTTCACAGTCGGTCCTGTTGCCTTTGGGCCTGTGGCAAGGTAGTGTACTACGGTGGGAAACACATACTGGAGCCAAACCGTGCTGCGGGGAAGAGGGAACGAGGAACCTCAGAGGTAAAACACTGGCTTATAGAGCATAAAGTTCTGGGTACTGCATTACATCACTGTCATCCTAGCCCATAGGAGGTGGAGACGGAGGGTCACAAGTTCAAGGTCATCTTTGGCTACTTACCAAACTTGAGGTCAGCCTGGGCTACAGGAGACCCTATCAAGATGGGCTGGAGTTGAGGGTAGAGAAGAAAGAGGCGGAAGCCAGGGTCCCTCAGTGCACTTTGAGGGCATGTGCCTAATGACCAAAGACTTTAATGCCAGCCAAAGATTTTAATGGACTCATGTTTTGTTTTGGTTTTGTTTTGAGACAAGGTCTTTCTTGTAGTCCTAGAACTCACTATGTAGACCAGCTTGTTGGTCTTAAACTCATAGAGATCTGCCTGCCTTTGCCTTCTGAATACCCTACCCTCTCTTTTTTTTTATGTGTGTGGGTGTTCCTAATGCCCTCAGAGGCCAGAAGAGGGTGTTATAGACAGTTGTGGGTGTTGGGAGCTGAGCCTGCATCTTCTGGAGAAGCAACACCCAACTGCTGAAGCATCTCTCTGGCCCACAGGCCTCACCCCCTTATTCTTCTACCTCCCGATGGCACTGAGAGCCATTAAGTCCACGATTCCTTTGCAGGTGGACAGTCCAGGTCCAGCTCTCTCTAGTTCCCACATCTTCTGACAGCAGGGATGGGAGTAGACCCCGCTTCCTGCAGGGGTTGCGAGTTCACGCAAGTCACCTGGCATGAGTTGTACACTCAATCCATATTAGCCATCGTTTGTGTATTATAAGTAAATATTTGACCGTGATAGTTCGGCGACTCCCAGAAGCAGGTCAAAGGTGGTGTGGTGTGTGTCTCCATGCCAGCTCCAGGTTACAGGCTAATTAAGAGTGTCAAGCAGATGGCTTAATATTCCCCTGTTATAAGAGGCTCTAGGGTTTCTCTGCCCATGTGTGATGGTTTGTATGTGCTCAGCCCAGGGAGTGGCACTATTAGAAGGTGTGGCCTTGTTGGAGTGGGTGTGCCCTGTTGAAGTGGGTGTGTCACTGTGGGCGTGGGCTTTAAGACCCTCATCTTAGCTGCCTGGAAGCCAATCTTCCACTAGTAGCCTTCAGATGAAGATGTAGAACTCTCAGCTCCTCCTGCACCATGCCTGCCTGGATGCTGCCATGTTCCTGCCTTGATGATAATGGACTGAACCTCTGAACCTGTAAGCCAGCCCCGATTAAATGTTGTCCTTATGAGAGTTGCCTTGGTCATGGTGTCTCATACAACATGCCCACAGGCCAACCTATTCTAGACAGCTCCTCATGGAGACTACACTGCCATGTGATTGTATATATGTGAGTACACTGTCGCTCTCCTCAGACACACCAGAAGAGGGCATCAGATCCCATTACAGATGGTTGTGAGCCACCATGTGGTTGCTGGGAATTGAACTCAGGACCTCTGGAAGAGCAGTCAGTGCTCTTAACCTCTGAGCCATCTCTCCAGCCCTGCCATGTGATTTTAAATGCTGTCAAATCCATAATCAAAACTACTTATACACCTTCTTCTTATCGTGTGGCAGAAAGATCTGTCAGCCTCTGTGGGAACAGAGCAAGGGCTCGTTCTAAGTCTTCCACTCAGGTGGAGCTGAGATGCTTCCCTTTGCCACAGGAATGGCTTTCGGAAGGAGGCAGTATGAAGCCAAGTTTTATTCAGAGTTTAACATAGACTTCGCTCTAGTGCTTACAGGAAAGGGGTGAGACATACACAACAACTCCAGAGATCTGCCTGTCTTTGTTCCCACCACCCTGAGGCTGGGGCTATAGCATGTTTGTGTGTGTGCACTCATGTGTGTGTGAAGGGACATGACTTTGAGAAACATCCTCCATGGCTCTTCTGCCTTATTCATGGAGGCAGGGTCTTTCCATCAAATCCAGGGCTCAACAATATGGCTGGTCTCTCTAAACAGCTTTCTCTGGGCATCCCTCTGTCTCTTCCTTCAGAGGCTGCCACGCCCACTCAGCATTTATGTGGGTTTCTGGGTATCTGAACCCCTGTCTTCAGGCTTACATGCCAAGTGCTGAAGCCCTGAGCTATCTCTCCAGCCCCAGGATGTTCTGTGTGTGTCAGTTCCACACAATTCTATATCACAGACTCAGACAGAGCGAACCTGCACCTGTGGCCAGCCAGGTGTTCCCCCATCAAACCCATCCCCTCTCAAAATGTCAGAATTCTTGCCAAGTGCATTCAATGAGATTGGTTGGGGACACAGATACCAGGTGTTCTGACTTCTCCGTGTGTGATTCTCAATGTGGTCCCCACTGGTGGCAGAGAACTGAATCCTAGTGAGGTTTCTGGCCCTTGCTTGCTACCCACTCTACCTCAAAGGTTAGACCCCACCGAGGAAAGCCTGACCTGTATGGGCCAGGTTCTGCCCTTGATTGCTACGGATGTGTGTGAGCTGCCTCCCCCCCCCCCCAACCAGTAGACCAAACGCTGCATATCTGATGGTTTACATGGCTCAGCTGAACAGTTTTGGGGCACACCAGACTCTCTTGAGGGTAGATGAGGGGGTGGAAATTAAGTGGGGGTGGGACTAGCAGTTGCAGGAATGGCTGAGAGCTGTTAGTGGGTGGCCCAGTGAGTGTGCAGCTGAATGTGACAGTCTCAAGATCTTGGTAGTCCTGGGCTCCTCAGGAAGAGGCTGTAAAGAAAACCACTCTCTACTCAGGAGGCCCCTTGCTGCCGAGCAGGCCAGTCTCCTTGGAGGAGACTAGGGGCCTATATGAACCACCAGGGAATGGCAGCGTGTGCTTACAGGAGTCATTGTAGAAATCTGTCACATTGTGGCTGTCAGGAGCTGCCAGATTGCAGTGGGCCCTGCAGGAAAGGGGGTGCAGACAGGAATGGAGCACCCCCTCTTGTTCTTATTTTTCCCTCGTTTAAAGATTTATTATTTTTTGAGTGTCTCTGTGTTTGTCTGTACGTGGGTACGCACATCTGAGTGCAGGTGCCTGTGGAGACTAGAGAAGTTGTTCATAGCCTAGAGCTACAGGTTCTGGTGAGTCTTGTAATGTGGGTGCCAAGGCCCGAACTTCAGGTTCTGGGTAATAGCTGTAAGGACTCTTAACCACTGAGCCATCTCTCTGGTCTCTCCTTCCCCCTAGTCTTGCCCAAATCCAGAAGGCTTCTTTCATGGTTGGGGGTTGGTTGGAAGGGGAGGGGCACAGACTCTCTCTCTCTCTCTCTCTCTCTCTCTCTCTCTCTCTCTCTCTCTCTCTCTCTCTCCTTATTCCAGGATCTAAATGTGTCTGCAGCTCTGATTACAGGGAAGAGTGGGGCTTTGGGACTCCAGAGGCTGTGGAAGGGATGATGAATGTAGTTACCTCGGTTGAGCCCAGCAGAAACCCTGCAGAGCCTTTAGGCACAGGCCATTTCAGTGTGGGTCTTTAAAATTAATCACCTTGCTGATGAGAAAAGCTCAGTGGGGGAAGTTGATTGGTCCCAGAGCCGTAGAGGCCCAGAGCACACAGCATGACCCCATGGGTCCTTGATTGTGGGGTTCTTTGGAGAGCAGAGAGGGGCCCAGCCCTGTGGCTCCCATCCTTCTGTGGCTGAGGTTGGTTGTGGGCACACACTTGGGGTATCTGGAGCTAGTTGTCCTGGGCTGTCTCTTCTGTGTGTCCTAGGAGTGGATTTTCGTGTCAAAAACCTGCTGGTAGACAACAAAACCTTCGCCCTGCAGCTGTGGGACACAGCCGGACAAGAGAGGTATTCAGACTGTCCCTGCCAGTGGTCAGAGACCTCAGCTGGGCTCAGAGTGTGGGAGGAAAGGGTGACCCACAAGCTGGGTGACAGGGGACAAGGTTTGTTCCCACTGAAGCAATAAGACTCTGAGACCCAAGAGTCAAAGAGTCAGAAAGGAAGGGCTGTGAGCTCAGGTGCCCCAACTCTGAACAACTCTGGGGTAGGGGTGCACTGGGTGATTTTCCCCTGACCAACCTTCTAGCTGCAGGTTTTTTGTTTGTTTGTTTGTTTGTTTGTTTGTTTTTTGTTTTTTGTTTTTCGAGACAAGGTTTCTCTGTGTAAGCCTGGCTGTTCTGGAACTCACTCTGTAGACCAGGCTGGCCTCGAACTCAGAAATCCGCCTGCCTCTGCCTCCCAAGTGCCGGGATCAAAGGCGTGTGCCACCACTGCCCGGCCGGTGTTTTGTTTTTTGTTTTTGTTTTTTTTTGGTTTTTTTTTTTGTTTGTTTTGTTTTTGAGACAGGGTTTCTCTGTGGAGCCCTGGCTGTCCTGGAACTCACTCTATAGACCAGGCTGGCCTTGAACTCGACTGCAGGTCTTCTGTATAGCACAGTAATAGAAACATAAGGGCCACAAAGATTTGACTCTGAATTTCCATTTCTGGAAACTTGTTCTAGGGATAAACTCATCCGTGAAGCAGACTCAGCTGCTTAAGGCTTATTAAAGATGTCACAAAACATGGAAGACACCCTAAGTGGCCCTTAAATACATCAAAGTCTACCCCTAGGATAGGACGGATGGGGGCGGGGTCCTCATGCCCTGGATGTGGTGGCCTCATGCAGATCCTTCGGGCAGGTACCACAGCCTCACCCGGCAGCTGCTTCGCAAGGCGGAGGGGGTGGTCCTCATGTATGACATCACCTCCCAAGAGAGCTTCACCCACGTGCGTTACTGGCTGGACTGTCTGCAGGTGAGTCTGTTCGGGACTGCAGGCTGGCCCCAGGTTTTGGAACCAAGAGGAAGCTTGGAATCCACCCACACACATTCCTCATTCCTCTGGGGGTTACAAATGCCACAGTAGTCACAGGAATGACACCACCGGCTGAGGAACGTGTGGGCGGATGGACTAGGAGCCCTGAGGCACAGAGAAACCACAACCACACAGTACAGCTCCCAAAACAGACTGCTCACGTATCCCACTAGCAGCTTGGGATGTCTTCTAGGTGGGAATCCCATTACCGATGCTTACCTCCATCCCCCACGTACCTACCTAATCTTTGTATTCTGCAGGGACTTGTGCTGAATTCTGGATTCAGCAATTACGGGGCTAGAGAGACAGCTCAGCCATTGAGAGCCCTTGGTGCTCTTCCAGAGGGTGGTTGGAACAATCCAGAAAGGCTTCCAGGGGGAGGTGCCCATAAGGTTAGCCATGAAAGTAGGAGAAGGATTTTGTAAGCAGAAAGGAAAAAAGAAAGCGTCTAGGTGAGCAGACGGCGTCTAGAAACTTCTAGAAGCTTCTACCTTGGGGCTGGGATCCGCTGACAGCACATATCCTGTGTGCAGGATGCAGGTGTAGAGGGTGTGGCCATGGTCCTGCTGGGAAACAAGATGGACTGTGAGGAGGAGAGGCAGGTGCCCACTGAAGCTGGCAGAAGGCTCGCCCAGGTGAGTACTGGGACATCACAGAAACAAGGCTTCCTGCACATCCTGTGTCTGCCTGTGGGAAACGGGGCTTCCCGCAGCGCCCGTGCTTGCCTGTGGCAGAGGTCTGGCTGGCACGGACATGGTTGCGCCTGGCCATTCAGCCACTGCAGATCGACCCCAGGCTCAAACCCAGGCTGTGACCAGCAGGCGCCACCTTGAGCGCTGTGTGGAATTAGCAGATTCCCACGCATCCCCAGCCCATGTGAAAGACCTCTCCGAGTGAAAACAGTTTTAAAAGCGTCACTGAAATCCCCAATCAAGTCTTCATTGTATCTCTGGTCTCTAATTAACATACTCCCTTCTTGTTTATTCTATTTTAAGACTCAAATGTTTTTCCTTGGGAAGGCAACATCAAAAGCTTTGTTGCCAGACAGGGATACTATTATTTATAAGTGAGATTTAACCACATTCTAGAGAAGCCAGGGAGTAATAATATATATAATTTTTTTTGAGTCACTCCTGGTCCCGCCCCTGACACACTCCTTAGAATTCTAGCTAAGCTTCCTTGTTGATTCATTACTCACGATTGTCACTTGCCATTGTGACCCCAGGATGGCAGATTATCCCCTCTGGAACAGTAGTCTGTCCCTTTGAGAGTTCCTCTTCTGAGAATTAATCTTACCAGAGGACTGAGGATTAAGGGTTCCTAGAAAATGCACGGTGGACTCCCCGCCCCCAGGATGTCCAGTCTGGTGATGGCAGGAGGCTATTTATTCCTCACAGTATTATTTATAAGGGGCGTTGGCAGAGCTCTGAAGTTACACCTTGGATGTTTGTGTGATGGGCCAAGCATTTACCACAAAGGATCTCTGTGCTGGGGGGCGGGTGTCTCGTGGGTTTCAGAGAGCGAACTCTGAGTGTCTCTATGTGGTTCCCACTGGAGCAGACAGATGAGGGATTTTCACCGGAAGTGGTCATGGTGTGACAGTCGGTCAGAACTGGGAACCTAGATTCTCCCTTAGTGGCCCCTTAACCTCCCCAGCTTCAAGTCAGCAAAATCCCGTGACTGTGGGAAGGGAGGGAAATGAGGACCAGGAGTATTTTAGAGAAACATACAAACAAACCCTGCATATAAAGAGAATTCTTGTATGTTTCTCCGAATTGAGCAGTCTGTCTGTCTTCTGCTCCAAGTCTGGGGGACATCTCTAGCTGTGTCCTGCACGATGCTGGGCAGAGATCCAGCTAGGGAACGAGGGTGGCTAGTGAGGTCTGGTAGGGCTGGACCTGGCCTCTCTCGGGCACACTGTGTGTCTGCAGGAGCTGGGAGTCTCCTTCAGTGAGTGCAGTGCAGCCCTGGGTCACAACATCCTGGAGCCCATGATGAACCTGGCTCGGTGAGTGCTTCCCTCTACCCAGAGTCCTCAGGGGCAGCCCCGCCCCTCTCCATGAAGTGGCGAGGAAGACCCTGGTTACAGAGCCCATGCTGTTTTTTCCAGCTGTAACACACCTTATAGTCTCTTGACTATAAGGTTCCTGCCCCAGCCTTCTAGCGACTTTCATGACTTTGTGTGAACGCCACCGAATGGCCTGATGCCCTTCTCTATACAGGGCCTTGCACTCACTGGGTGCTCAGTGACTGGCTGAGGTGGGTGCCAGGGAGGGTATCAGAGTCTACTAGCACGCATGTGGTTAGACATTTGGCGCCTACTTTTCCCAGCTCCAGGTTTGCTCTCGACCTTGAGTTTGGGCTTCCAAGGGAACAGAATGTCCATTGGTGACCTAGGTCGCAGCCCAGGCTCAAGCCCTGGAAGATGATTTTGTGTGTGTGCGTGCGCATGCCCACGTGTGCGCACATGTTGCTTGGCACCAAGGGGGCCAGAAGAAGAGACCGAAGGACATAGTATCCCAGTCCCGTTTTTTTTTTTTTTCCTACTGCCATGAGTATAGAGGTTGGAGGGGTGGGGGAGAGCCTCCCATTCCCCAACACCCACCACCTCCAGCCCTCCATACTGAGGAGGGAGGAATAACTCGGGGACATTGTCATACAGGTCACTTAAGATGCAGGAAGACCGCCTGAAGGCCTCGCTGGTGGAAGTGACCCACCCGCAGCCACCCAAGAAAGCTAGCTGCTGCCGCTGATCACAAGCCTGGTCCCATCCCCGATTGCTTCTTCCCATAGTTCCTCATCGTGCTTCCTAGACACAGCTGGGATAGAGAAGCCCTGCAGGGGACAATGTCACCTCTGCTCCACTGAGCAAACACTCCAGGGGTGGATGACAGGACAAATCTAGAAACTCCACATAAGCAAAGTGTCCCTGAGACATTCATTTACCCCAGGTGGCGAGGTGGTAGGGCATTCTAGCTCAGTTTCTGCGATGATAAAGACTGGCCAATAGCAGCTTAGAGGAGGGAAAGGGTTATACTTCGAGGTCGCTGTCCATCACTGTCAAAGCAGGGCCTGATACAGGAACCATGGAGGATCGCAGCTTACTAGCTCACACACTGCCTGATGCTTAGCCAGCTTTTATAGAGATCCCAGGTCCACTTGCCTAGGGATGACACCACCCACAGTGGACTGAGCCCTCCTGAATCAATCATCAAGTAAGGCAGTGCCCCATGGACATGCCCACCCCAGGCCAGTCTGGCAAGGGCAATTCTCTATTTAAGAATTTCCTGATGACTCTAGATTGTGTTACTATAATAAAAGCTAACTGGATGCAAGACACATGTGTGTGTATGGGGGGCAGGTACTGTTTTCCTTTTGAGTATTTTTGGATTTTCCTCGGTGCCTGGGGATGCCTTGTATGACTAAGGGATCAGATGTGGAGAAGGAAATATACCTTGCAGGGAGGGGGTCTGTGTGGTGTCTGAATTCACACATCCAGTTAGATCCCACCACACCCTGTGCCTGCCGGAGGTTTACCCTCTCAGATTCGGATTTCCTCCTTGTTGAATCTAATCCTGAGAGTAGTGTCTGATGCAGTGGAAATTCACGTGGTCGGTGACGGCAGGTAGCATAGGATGGAGTCCACATGGTGTAGCAGTGGCGGCGGTGGCAGGCCACGGGGTGTCGATCCTGCATGGTCACAGCTGCCAGAGGCTGCACTGTGGGTCGCGATTTCCAAAGTCTTCAAGTCTCAGCCCAACGCACCAATGTTAGACGTCCCCCGCAAGGCAGTTCTAGGCTAGTGAGCCTGGATATCCTTTGTGTAGCCGGTCTGATGCAAATCTGCAGATTTCTATATCTGAGTCTTGGCACCAATGATGTGTTTATAAAAAGGTAAAGAGATAAAGAGTATGTTCTGTGGGTGTGTGGAGAGGTGTGGGGGAAGGGGATGTCTCAGCGGGCCCATGCATCTCTTCCCCCTGAGGAACCGGTCACACACCGGTATAGTATAGAATAGAGTTCATTCAGGGCATGATGGGGAGGGGAGGCAGGAGGGTAGTAGAGGCAGAGAGAGGCGGGGGTGGGGGGAGAGAGAGAGAGAGAGAGAGAGAGAGAGGAGAAGAGAAGTAGAGGGAGTAGAGGCAAGAGATCAAGAGAGAGAGAGGAGGCGGGAAGAGGCCCTTTTATAGTGGGCCAGGCCTACCTGGCTGTTGCCAGGTAACTGTGGGATGGAGTTTAGACAGAATGCTAACAGTGTCATTCTGACGGTCCTTGATATGCCCTTTGGGGCCTCCATAGAGGGTTGCACCAGGACCCTGCTCCTTGCCCGAAGCTTGGGAGCCTCAGAAGCCACTGGGTGCCTTTGATTGGTGGGTCCTGGACGGCAGCTTGGAAACCTGGAGGGAAGTTTGGGGGGTCTAGGAGGTTGGGGATGGCGTCTGAGTCAGGGGGAAACCTAGCTCAACGGTCATCCCGGCACAGAATACAGTACCCACAGGAACGGGGGATGGGATCAAAGCATTGCGGTTTCTGGAGACGGATAGTTAATGCTATCTCTGGGGTCCAGCTTGGCAGGCCTGGACACCTCCATTCTGTGGTGTCCAGGAGGCTGAATTGGGGGTATCCTCAGTGTTCTGTGCAGAAAGCCAAGAGGAAGGTGTGTGTTGGTTGGTGGGAGTCGAGGAGGAGGCAGGGGCATCGTTTCATTCCTGTTAGCCACAGTCTTCATGCTGTAAGCCAGCACCTTCTTTTCACTGTTTAGGGAGATCTCAAGGGCAGAGAGCTGGCACACAGGACAGACTGCGATACCCAGTCAGGTTCAGAAGGTTCCGGCATCTGATGCCACCAAAGACAGAGTTAGATGTCCTTAAATACCCATTCTACTTCAGCCTCAATGCAATGACCCCAGTCACTAGGCTTGTTGTCTGCCTAGACTCTTCACTGGCTCTCCCTCACCTCCTTTCTGAGCCTTCCCTCTCCCCGGGCAGTTCCAGGGAAAGGCACTCACAAGGGGAAAGGCGGGTCCTGCCATGCTAATGCTATCTCTGGGGTCCAGCCTGGCAGGCCTGGACACCTCCATTCTGTGGTCCAGGAAGCTAATGAGACTCCTGGTAACCAGCCAAGGAGTCAGACACTTTCATCTAGGGGATGAAGGACAGCAGGCTCCAGGCAGCTTCCCTTGAGGTGAGGTGTGGTGTGGAGAAGAGGCATCTCTCAAACTTAACTTGAATCACTGTGACTGGGTCCACCATGTGCACAAGGCCCAGCTGTGTTGGGGAGTAAGTCCTTCTGGAGAGCCAAGGGGCTCGCAAGTCAGTAAGCAGAGGCCTGGAACACTGGGTGGACAAAGGACAGCAGCAGGACTCCTCAAGGTAGACAGTAGAGGGAACCGACAGGCAAGTGTTCATTTCCCAGAGTATGCCAGCCAAGGGGAAACCCGCTGTAGATTGATTTGAGGCTGATTAAGAAAAAGGCTGGACCTTTAATCCCAGCACTTGGGAGGCAGAGGCAGGCAGATTTCTGAGTTCGAGGCCAGCCTGGTCTACAGATTGAGTTCCAGGACAGCCAGGGCTATACAGAGAAACCCTGTCTCGAAAAACCAAAAAAAAAAAAGAAAAAGGCTGGGGAGACTGGGCTGCTGGGGCTTGGAGCGGATGTGAATTGGGAAGGCCGGGTAGGGAACAGAATGGAAGCTTGGCTGGGGCGTTAGAGAAAGGGCCTTGCAAACTGAAGGTGGCCAGGGACCTGTGTGACGGGTGACATGCTGAGAACTGACCTTACGTAACCACACAGACCTTGTGTCACCGTGGCCCTAGGAGATGAGCTGGGTGGATTTTATTATTTCCTTTGTTGACTGGGTCTCATGTAGTCCAGGCTAGCCATGAACTTTCTATGTAGCCGAGGATAACCCTCAACTTCCAATCCTCCCCGCTCCACTTCATGAGGGCTTACATCACCTGGTTTATGTGTCTCCGGTAACCAAGACTCGATACAGCCTTAGGCGAGCACCCCAGCATCCGAGTTACATTTCCAGCTCCTCATTCTTGTTGTTGTTGACACAGGTCCTGTTATGTAGCCCAGGCTAGCACAAACCCCACGATCCTCCTGACTCTGCTTCCCAAATGCTGCCAGGAAAGGCCAGAGCTATTTGATTTTCTCTGTGGTTCTGGGGATTGATCCAAGGGCTCCAGACATGCTCTAACATGGAGCCACACCCGTAGCCACCCTCTTTTTACTGAAGAAACTTTAAAACTTTACGTCTATTATTCATATGTATGTATGTGTGTTTTAGGGGGTGTGGTTGTAGAAGTCCGAGGAGAACTTTCTGGAGTCGTCTCTCCTCCCACCATGTCCGTCTCCAGGGTTCAAACTCAGGTCTTCAGACTTGGCTGCAAGCATCTTTACAGACTGAGCCGGTTCACTACTTCTCCTTGTTACCTTTTATTTTAGGACCGGGGCTCCCCAAGTTGCTCATACTGCCTTAGTCAGCAGCCCAGGCTTGAACTTGTGATCCCCTTGCCCCAGCCTCCTGAGTACCTGTAAGCCTGTACCACAGAGCCTCAGACTAATATCTCTTTTTCTTTCCCTTTCTTTTGTGCATGTGTGTGGTGCATGTGTGTGGTGCATGCGAGTGTGAGGATATTTGTGACCATGTCCAGGCACGGAATGGCCACAGCCAGCCATTGGGTATCTTCCTCTGGCACTCTTTGGCTTTCTGCCCTGAATCGGGAGTCGGTGACCAAACCAGAAGCTTGTCACCTCAACTATGCTGGCTGGCCATTGGCTCTTGGGATCTGCCTGTGTCTACCCTCCAGTACTGGGGTGTGGGTGCAGACAGCCATGGTCTGCTTTTTACTGGGTGCTGGGGATTCCAATTCAGGTCCTGGTGTTTGCTCAGCAAGGACTCTTACCCCAGGATGCTATTTCTTTAGCTTCCCCCCCTTCTCTCCCATCCCCATCCCATGTCTGGTTAATGCACCAAAGGGCTTTGTATGTGCATACACAGCAAGGGCTCCCGACAGAGCCACACCCACAGCCCTGAAGCAGGGGCTTGATCTAGGTAGGCTTTGGTATCCACAGGTGACTCAGGATTTCTCAGAGGAAGATGTGTATTCTCAGAGCAGGCACACACAGCAGGCGCCTGGTCAGGAAAGTGACTATTCCCTGCCCCCCTGGAAGCTGTGGGATCAGGACACCACTTTATAGCTGCCTCTCAGCCCTCTCACACCATACGGGGTTGTGAGGCCTTAGATACTGTCTTTTTTGTTTGTTTGTTTGTTTGTTTGTTTGTTTGTTTTTTTCTAGACAGGGTTTCTCTGTATAGCCCTAGCTGTCCTAGAACTCACTCTGTAGACCAGGCTGGCCTCGAACTCAGAAATCTGCCTGCCAAGTGCTGGGATTAAAGGCATGCACCACCACTGCCTGGCCTCAGATACTGTCTTAAATACTGGGACCAAAAGCAATTTTGAAAGGAAAGGGTTTGTTTTATCTTATATTTCCATCACAGAAGAAATTGGTGCAGAAACTCAAGCAGGGCAGGAACCTGAAGGCAGGGACTGAAGCAGAGGTCGTGGAGGGGTGATGCTTACTGGCTTGCTCCCGGTGGCTTGCCTTCTTATAGCATCTAGGACCATTGGCCCAGGGGTGGTACCACCTGTGGGACTGCATAAGGGTATCCTGGGTCAAGGTTGAGCAGGTGCCTAGAACCCCAAGACTCTGCAGACTCTGCGTGGGATTCTGCGTGAGAACTGGCAGGAGTTCGGCGTCCCCCAGAATCCAGGATCCTGAAAAGCAGTCACGGTCTCCATAGAATTACATTGTTCAGTCACATAGGCCAGGCTATAGGCCTCAGGATTTACATACTAATGAAGGCCAGAGGGCAGAGCAAATTAAGCATGCCTCCCCCAGATCCTCCCTCAATCCTCCCCCTTTCTCCCTCCCTATATAGCTCAGGACTGCCCTGAGTTTTCGGGTGTACACCTAGATCCATCCACCATCTGCCATGACAATAAACCTTTTTGGAACCAAGGACTTCCTTGTGTTATTGGGGCCTGCTGCCGCCAAAGCCTCTAGGCCGCTGGAACTATAGGGTTCCTCCCGAATGTGGGACCTGACACAGCGTGGAAGCCCCTCTGGGGCCCCACCGCTGTGGCGGCCTCTAAATTTTCCCCACAACCACCCACAGTGGGCTGGGCCTTCCCACACCAATCATCAATCAAGAAAATGCCCCAGAGCCTTACCAAAAGCCCATCTGGTGAGGCATTTTCTCAATTGAGATTTCCTCTTGCAAAATGACTCTAGCTTGGGTCAAGATGACATAAAGCAAGCCAGGACAGA